CCCCCCGCTCCGGTCGCACATGAATTAACGAGGTGAAAGTTATCTGCTTTTTCCTGCAGGTCTGAGCCTCGTTAGCAAAAAGCCCACAAACTGGACAAGCAACACATCCGAGTGAGGGTGAATTCCCCTAGCCAGCCCTGGAAAGGATAAAAGGTGCCCTCCCCGCGGCAAACACCCACGTCAGATTGGTGGCTTCGTTTCAAGTCCCCGGGTGATCTGGGATCATTAGTTCCTATAACTGACTTACCATCAGCGTCTTCATTTTTGAGCACCTCTTTATACCGAGATCTCAGGCTTGAGCATCCGGAGCCACTTTTTCCTCTAGGGTTTCCATTGCGAAGGAGCTAGGGACATTGCGTTCCCCGCCCCCCACTCTCTGTTTGCCGGGATTGAGAGCGAAAAATACAAAAATCACCAGCAGAATCAGCCCAACCTTGAACTGCTGTAGAAAGAACGGCTGTTGCAGAGATTAGAGACAGAATTAAAACTGGACCCTTTTAGAGTCTCCCAGTGATCTACACCACTACCGCCTGCCGAAGCTTTCTGGGTCCTAAACCACGCCATATCCCCCTCTCTTCCCCGGCTCGGAGACAGTTTCACGGTATATGGGAGTTAGCTGCTGCTCTTATTTCAGTTCCTTTAATTCCTAGGATAAAAATCTCATCTTATTAGAGAAGCTACTTCTTCCCTTTATGAAATTTTTAAAAAATCACCCCAGGGGGGAATAATACATCCTATTTCTCTGCACTCTCAGCTTTACAATGTCATATTTAATCAGTGGGTGGTCTTCTGATCAACAGAAATGACACACTTTGAAAATACAAAGCAGTATACCTTGCAGGCGTGATCCCAGTTTGTATTTATAAAATCCTATTTGAAATACAATCCCCAACCTATTTGTTTTTCCTGAAGAAAGATCCACCAGCCCATATTTTTTTTAGTATTACAAGGTTTGGGGAAGGTGGGAATTTGTGCTTGTGTGTACTTTTAATCTAAGCCTTCAAACACAACACTTACTAGGTAGTAAGAGCCACTGAGCTCACTTAGACTTACTTTTGAGTAAACTGCTTTGGTTTGTACTGCCTTCTGTATTTATTTGTAACTGTTCTGTTAAATATTTCCACATTCTGTTTTTGGTACTTACATTATTTAACTGCAGGCTTTTAATGTCTTCTAAATATCATGAATGTGGCAATCATTCATATATCTTTTATCATATAATTCTTCCTATGTAGTATCATTCATAATCTTAAACAATTGCCTTAAGATAATTTTAAATTACAATTTCTATGTAAAGACAATCACGTTTCATTTATTTAAATAGTCTCATAGTTTTCTTTCCTCTGTTTATCTGTATTAATGACACAAGTATAAAACCTAACTTAAACTTCATGCTTTTTTTTTGCTCTAGGAAATATGTGCCCCCCTTCAAAATAATCCATTTTTACACCAGTGCCTTTTGATTAAAATGGTACTTCGTATGGACAAAATTCTGTTTCTATTGCATATAGAGCATAATTGTAATATATACTGTCACATCTAACATATAGCAACATAGCATTAAAGATTACATTAAGAAGAAAACTATCAGCAGGCTAGCTGAACCATGGTTACAAATGCTATCTTTTTCAAGGCTGAAATCATCATTGAGATACATTTTTCATCTTCAGTAATTCACTCATGGACTAACAGTGGAACAAATGCCATCTCTAGTATGTCAGAGAATTAGCACTTACAAGTAATGTTTTTTAAAGAAGAAAGTAAAGTGATTGTCAGATATGCACAATTACTTCAACAGATGAACAATAAGCATGTTTTATTATCTTAAAGAAGGCTACTGTCACTGAACAAATTATTGCTATTTATTCAATCAGTGCTTTAGGTCTGAATAGCACCAGTTGTTAAGACAGGAGAATTAATATGAGATGAATCTTATCAGGCCTTGGTAATTCTTTACCATGTAGTCTCACTTGACATAAATTAGAGGAACAAAGGGCCAACTTGGTGAATCATTGAAAGCAAATGAACAGTGGCTCTCTAAGTCTTTCTACCATGGGCTACAAAGGGGAGCTTATACATCTTACAGTACTTTTCCATTCACTACTAGCAAGCAGGTTGCTGGAGCTGACAAACTCTCCATAGCAAACTCCATGCCAAACTAAGGCATCACATTTATGATTAAGGCTCACAGAAGTATGTTGGACATCTGTTACACAGTATGTCTAACCAAGTCATCAAGCTTATGAGTTTGCTAGAACTAGTTGCTATTGATTAAGTGGCTGAGCTAAAATTTGCAATTTAATGCTGAGCTTGCCTTGACTCATGTCCAGTTGTCTGATTCCTAGATATTTAATTAGATTGCCATGATGGTCATGGACACAGTTCTTGGCAGCCAAACCTGTATAAACAAATAATGCAATGTAAATTTTGCAGCCGTTTTTATGTGTAGATGTGGTGTGTCAAGGGAAATTTGTAAGTCAATTGGAAAACAGCTCAGTTACTAAATCAATGTTAAGGTCCACAAAAATTAAACTCTTTAGCTCTGTATATGTTTACTTTACATTATTTCTGTGTACATATGTGCACATGGAAAATGGAAAGATTACACTTTACATTTAATAATTAGATTTATAAGTAGTCAAGGAGTACAGATGAGTTTATAAACACTTAATTGACTTGCAAACAAGTCAATAAAGCATTTTAAGAGTTCATCTGACTCTGGTTTCACTGAGAAGTGAATCATAACAGCAGTAATTTCTTTTTTTAAAAAAATGTAAGGGTCACTTAATTGCTTTTTAAAAAAATATCAGAATCAGTGACAATAATATAATACAACAGGTACACATTACAGACCTGCTTTGTGTAACTACAAAAATGACAGCTTTTAAAAACTCTTGTACACTATAGAAATATGCTGTATGAAGCTACAGCATGATTCTAAATCTTTTTAAAAGGATAATATTAATCAAATACTAACATTTTAGCAGATACACAAGGCAGATCTGTAATGTTCACTGACTGAAACTGTATGATCAGGATTTCCTAGTAGACCGGAAATCACCGGTAAATTTGTTCCACCTATACTTTTTCCACCCAAGGAGTTCAGACCAGTACTCCTGGGATATCTCTTAACCAGACTCTACTTCAGTTCAGACCTACTTAGTGTGAGTTTTCTGGTGGATCGCCAAGGAGTACCTCGCTAAAGACCAGACAAAAGGCTTTCCAGCATTTTAAGCAGACTAATAGCTTCTGCATGGTGCTTGAGTCTACCCTTGCAGCACTTCAATAATTGAAACCAACCTCCTCAATTTATTTATTTTTTTCACAGCATGAAGTGGCATTACTTATGTAGTACATTTTTGTCTCATCTTCCTCAAGGAGTGTAAGTGGCATACATAATTCTACCACCCCCCTTTTATCCTCACAAAACACTATGAGGTGGGTTAAGCTAAGTCAAGAGAAAATTACTGGCCCAAGGTAACCCAGTGAGCTTTCAGGCCCCACCCAAAGCTTGGCAAACCCTAATTCTCCTTATGGGGGGAAGAAACTGCTTCCACATACAAAGTGAGATGTTTCAGTCTCTGGTCCTTAGTTTCCTGTATGGAAATGCATTCAATCTTCCTTCTGATTTCAGAAGGCCCAGACACAAGTTTACAATCTGAGGGACTGAGCCCAAGAATCCAGCAGTGTATGCCAAAACTTTAAGTGCACAAATAATATTAAATATTTCAGAGTTGTTTCACTTGAATGTATGAACATTTGTTTGAAATGAATGAAGCATATATATCAACCAGAGAGAAAAAACTGCAGCAAAAGTTACTCAAGGCACAATCTATAGTATTTTGTCTCTGCCTACTAAATGAATTAAGTATGTAGATTTGCCAGCAATCTAGAAACCATACCTGTGAAGAGTGAAAAACAGAAAGGAGAAGTTGAAAGTACAGTGCCTCTTGTCCCGTTTCTCTATAAGTGCCCTCACCCTCTACTCCTACCTTCTGCAAAGCAAAACTAAAGTCCTCCTTGGTGACATGGGGAGGCAAAGTGACCTGTAGAGCAGCAACTACCTATTCCCTCACTACTTTTAGCTTAAGGGACAGGTATTATCCAGGGCTCTTTTTGTAGAAAAAGCCCAGCAGGAACTCATTAGCATAATAGGCCACACCCAACAGCAAGAACTCATTAGCATATTAGGCCACACCCTGACAGCACTGCTCATTAGCCCATTAGGCTACACCACCATGTTACCAGAAGTGTGGTCATCCAGCCACACCCTTCTTATTCTGTTTACCTTGTTTGTTGTCAAAACCCAGGGCTTTTTTAACTCCTTTGCATGTTAGGCCACACACCCCTAATGTAGCCAATCCTAATGAGTTTCTGCTATTGGGTGTGGTCTATTATGCTAATGAGCTCCTGCTGGGCGTGGCCAACTCGGGAGCCAGCCGGAACTCCGTTCCTGTGTGTTCCTGCCCAAAAATAGCCCTGATTATGCCCAAATCCCGATGGCAAGCCTAAATCTATCTTGAATACAGAATCTTATTGTTGAGGGAAAGGGCAAAGCCTATAACTCACGTCTATATGAAGCTGCTTCAATGTGGCAGGGTCTTCAATCTGCTGGCAAAAACCTATGAATTATTTATCCAGTTTTGTCTACCCCTCTCACATGCAAATCCCCCCCCCCCACACACACCATTTACAAGTTAGCAATCTATTGGAATGTGAGTTGTGGTTGTGTGTTAGCATGCAGGGAGTGCTGAGCCTAGGAGCTGCTACTTTATAGGAATTTGTGTCATAGAGCATTCTTCCTAACTGGAGAAATATTTGGAGATGTGAAGATTTCAGAAAAACCAATTTTACATTTTAAGTGTGACCCAACTCTTAATGAACATTACTTAAAATCATTTAATGGCACACTGTTTTGGATGAATTCCGGTGCTCTTATAGTACTGGTAAAACATGGATGGCTAGGAAAACAAGGTGAGGAAAAGGGGAACAAGAATTTTTTCAGTACTTCTAATATATAAAAATAAAACATTACTGCTGAATATAATGTTTAAATTGGATAAGAACTGTATTATCCTTGAACACCTGAAATGGCATATTTGCTTGTAATACTCCTATTGTGTAAGTGGGGCTTCCACTTCTACGCATGCAAATGCTCTCCCTAGAATAACCCCAGAGTCAGCCTGTCAGCATCTGTCCTCTGCATACAGAATGCCTTCAAGGCACTGCCATGCAGAGTCTACAGCTGTCCTCCTTTCCTCA